GAAAGCAAAGAGGAAAAGTCTGGACTCAGAGAATCATTCCTTGGGTAAAAGAAAAGGAGACAAAATATTCAGGATTCCAAGGCAAATTTTCTCACCTAGCTTTCACAACAATCCTGAAGTTCTCAAATTTATCAGAACTAATGAAGTTACTCTCTGGCTCGATGGTGATGGAAAAGCTTGGCATTGCTGCAAATTGAGGGGAAAAAAGGTCACTTGGGGGTGTTTTATCCATGGAGCCACAGGTGCTGAGCCACTGAAGAATCATGACCATGTCAAGGGGTTTGAGCCCTTGAAAACACTAAAAATGCAGGTTCACAGCATGGGCACACCTTACCATATTCCTTAACTTCAAATTTTGCCACAGCTGAGGTCACAAAATCCTTCTTGTACTTGGCTTTAATCTCCCAAATTCCATATCTATAAAATGCCAACAATCAAACAGTTTTTAAGACAGAAATGAATTATAACAATGGTAATAATTTCTTAGAAAGCAAAATTCTGCAGCAGATTTTTGCAGGTGTTCAAGGCCTGCTTTGAGCAGATTCTCTTTGATACATCATTAATTATTTGACACTTACTTCAAAGCACTGAAATCAGTTGTAAACCAGTTTCTCAAGCCCCTGCTATCATCCTTCTGCCCTCTCAGCAATGCTTCAGCACCCTCTCAAGACTAAAAGGAGAACTGAAGAGATTTTTTTTTAAATGCTGCTGTTTCTGGGAAATGCTGCTGTTCCTGGAAAAATGTGCTTCATTTGTATGAAACACATGATGAAATATGAAATATGAAATCCCCACGTCTTTGTCACTGTTTATGTCTCTACAGTGGAAAGCTTTAATTGTCATTAATGTTCTTTTTTAATTGAGCATGAAAAACCTGCCAGTCTCTGCTCTTTAAGGAGAATACTCTGCCATAAGGTCCCTACTTGTATCATTATTCCACCCTGTGTGAAATGCTAGAAATCTCCAAGTTTCAAGTCATGCCCACCATGCAAAACCACTCTATGACAGCCACTACAAAAAGGCATTATAATGTTAATAATTCACAAAAAAAAAAATTAAATAAATCTACTTAGGATTAGGAGGAATCTTGAAGTCAGGAAAAGAAACTATTCCAGTAAAATCTTTTTCTTCCAGAATATCCACTTCTACTCCTTCAGGATCCTTGAAATGATAAGAGGACAGAATGAGCAGTTACAGAATGTTATCAAAAGGGGAATCTTCATCCTTCAGAGGGGATTTCAGAGGCAACCTGGCCATAACATATTTTTCTTAAGAGCTTCAAAGCATAAAAACACAAATATTTGTAGAAAAACTCAGACTGAAATTTTGAAAAAATACTTTCCTCTAGTTCCACCAAGTGAAAGCCATGCTTAAAATAGCTAAAAAAATTACTGTAATAACAAGTAAATTGTTAAAGGCTAAAAGATATGGTAGCTATTGATTACTTTTATATCTTAAATGAAACAAACAGTATAAAATCCATATATTATTAAAGTCCCCTCAAAAATCCTTTTCTCAGACATTAAAGATAATTTTTTTTTTTTTCTATTCTAGATCACCTTCAGATCTGGGACTTGAAAACCTCTATCCAATCTACCAAAGTCAATTTTAAATCTTTTAAAAGATGTCTGGCTACTGCAAGAACATCTAAGAGTTTTATTAAACATTGACTGCAATACTGATTTCCCACCTACCTACCTTTATTTGCTATTAGAGCTACAAAATATTCATATTAAATTCAATTACCACTCACCACAAAAGTCATGACAGTCTCTCTCCGAGCTGGCTGCAGTTCTGCATTCAGAGAGTAAACTCTGACTTTCACTGTAAGAATTACAGCAATAAATCTCAAAATCAAAACAACCAACCAATTTACTGATATTTTTAACAAACTCCCAGGAATATCTTTCACTCTTTGTGCCACAAATTAGTCATTTTTGGTAAGGAGGGAAGGGAGAAGTGATTAGCTTTTACAATATGCCAAATCATTCAAAATATTGTTCTGCTGATAAAAAAATTGAGTATCAGCTGATGGCAATGCAACACAAGCAAAACCTTAAAGAACAATTAAATCCTAATTTCTTGGCAGAGTCAGCAGACTTTTAAAATTAAATACCAGCCAGGAGAAATAAGCATTATTTACCTGACTGATCAGGAGTATAAACTGGTTTGTCTGTATGAATAAAAAGAAACCCATTCTCATAGGAAACAGGAATTTTTTTAAATCTTGTAAAATGTGGAGAAACAGCTTCCAAATACAAATACTTGTCTGAAGTATCTGTTCTTGGTAAATCTGCTGGTTGAACCTGGGGGAGATGAAATAAAGGTTTTTCAAGATTATTAAAATATTTTTCATGTATTTTTTCCTACAGTATTTTTTGATGCAAAAAGTATCTGAAAAGCAATTACCACCCTGTGGTTGAGTATCATTAAATAAAAATATCAACACTCACAAGGATTTATTCTTGCTTACATGATAGAGGATGGTTTGGAGTATTAAGCTATGGATATTCTAACACTTGGATTTTATTTATGCCCAGAACTAAACCAGCAAAGTTCAAAGCCCAGTAATGAGGTTACAACAGTAGAAATTGTCAGATTTCCATTTATGCACATGATGAATCCTGGCCACAACAAAGCTGCTGCTGTGGTTGGTACTTTGATTTGATTCTCTCTATTTTTAAAGTTATGCAAGCATGGTAATGTTTCTAAAACAGTTTGATTCTGTGTTTAACCTCAGTGTTGTTACACTGATTTTATTCAGCGTAATTTTAATTTCAGACCAAAACTTGGGGCATTTGCCTTCCCTCCCCAGTTTAAACAACTGAAAACTCATTGAAACTTCTTTTTTTTTTTTTTTTTTAAAGACTAAATGTGATAATAAAAAGAGTGTAAGAAAGGTCTGAATTCCTTACTGTTAAAGTTACAGCATCTTGGAATTTGTTGGCTGGGGTTAAGGAAATCCGAGCAGAGGAATACACAAGGAGCTTATCTGGGAAGCTTTTCAGGGCAATACTGACTGGAAATTCCTCCTCGTAACCAAAAGCTTGAACCACAATCTTCTCAGAGGCCCCAGCTCGGAAGATCTTTGGTGCTGTAAGGACATATCTGTACATGGAACATAAAACAATAACAGATTTCTTTCTAATCTTTCAGATTTCTTACTTCCTTTTGGAATTCAGTTACATGCAGGGTGTTAAAGCAAACAGGATAATCAGGTGATTAAATCCTGATTAAAATCCTATTTGGATAGTGCCCTTTGTACTGGCTCTAGTTAAATTCTGGATTTATTTACCCAAAAGAGAGGACAATAATCAAAGAACATTTCCAGTAAATTCCGTATTTGCTTTTACTTACGTTTTCTCTTGGCTAAAAGTCGTTCCAGAAAATAGCAAAACAATAAAATATATTAAAATAGCCATTGTGTCTGGGACAAGAGCAAAGCATGGAAGTTAATGAGGGTGGGTTAAACAGCCTCTGCTGTGGGTGAGCAGAAATGCCAACACATTTCACTCACAGTTAATAATTAATGGCAGATCACTCTTTACTAAAACATTATTGCCCCTTCCTGAGGAAACAGAACTGCTAAATTTAGTAATTTTTGAATTTAGGATTTAAATTTTTAATATGTCCACAGCAATCCTGTGCCAGTCCTCACTTTCCTTCTGACAACTGCATAATAAAATAATTTTCAGAGGTAGGAAAAAACCCAACAAACAAAAAGATAGATTCAGTTTGTCCTTAGTAAAAAAAAAAATTAAAAAATTAAATTAAAGTGAATTCGAATTTGTGTCTGAAGCAAAAAAGCATTTGAGTTATAGCAAACAATGTGTTTGGACCAACATTTGTTTTGTTGTTGTTGTTTTGAAATAATTTTTCCCTTATAAATTTCTTTTAGCCATTTGTATTCTAGATTATGCCAACTTTCTGACCACTTCCATCACAAATAAAACCAGCAATACGGAAACATTACAGCACAATTTTATCAACATGCACCATTTTAAACAGAATTTTGCAAAAAAAATTGAAAAAATTTGCAAAAAACCTCCCACAACCACTGATACCAAAGCCTTTGCAGGCCTGGTATCTGGGATAGCACCTCAACAAATGGGTTTATGTAAAGTTAAATAAAGTTGTGCAAGAATGCTGAAGTTTAAACAAATATTGCGGTCAACCTTTACGGGAAAAGCGTCTTCAAAATTGTTTCTGATCGATATAAAGTGAAATTACAGTAAGGTCAGCTTCTCGCCAAATGTAAGGAACCAGAAGAGCAGCAATAATTGAGTAAAAGCTTATAAAATGTAGGATGTTTAACATTATTAAAATGAGTGGCCAACATATGTATTATTAAATACCAGTGGGGTGGCATGTAAATGAAAAGGCAAATAGTGAAGGACACTGGGAAATGCTTTAAAAGTCTAACAGTAACCTGAAATAGTGTTTTTTAAATCTAATTATGCTCCTTCTCTACATTTTTCAGAGACACAACCTACTGGTTTTTGAACCGTGCATTCTGCACTTAGTTACAGATGCTGAACTAACACAGTCCAAGTGTTAAAAAGATATTTTTACATGCCTCTGTGAAGACGAGTCTGATTTAGACCGGACACGCAGAGTTTATAACTGTAAATAAACTGTGTATTTCCAAAAAACCCCACTTATATGCGATTTCGCAGTGAGATGCTAACGTGACACTATACATAGAGTACAGATAAGGAAAGAACACCTAGCAGCAGAGCAGGTTTAATGGTTCACACAGCGGCTCGGGTTTGAAACAAACCAAAGCCCCTCAAGGTTGTATTGTTTATACAGTGATTTGGGCTTTATTGTTTATATATTACACAGCGATTTCACCTTTATTTACCACAAATCCCTGAGGGCTCCCCCTGAGGGGACGCGGCGGGAAATGGCGAGGCGGGGGCGGGGCCTCAGCGGCGGGAAACGAGCAAAGGGCGGAGCCTCGCACACGCCCCGCCCCTCAGCCGCACCCGCCGCACCCGCCGACCGGACAAAATGGCGGCGGGGCGGCCCCTCAGGGAGCGCCCTTAAAGGAGCCGCAGCACCCCGCGCTCGGCGGTGCGGGTGGTGATTGCTCTCCGAGGGGAAGGAGGCGGCGGAGAGGCGCGTTGAGAACCGGTGCCATCCTTCGGGAGCGCTGCGAGGCCGCCCTGCCAGCCCGTGCCGCGGCGGCGAGACGGCGTTACCATGTCAACGCAGGTAATCAAAGCGGAGGCCTGAGGGGGCGGCCCGCGGCGGGCTCGGCCTGCGGCGGTGACCGGGAGGGGATGGGGGCTCCGATCCCCGCTCCGCCGCCCCGGGGTGTCGCTGCGAAAGCACGGGCTGTCCTCAGGAAGCAGCGGTGAAACCACGAGCTGCGCTCCTTGGAGCACGGAGGAACGCCCCGATGGGGCTCTGCGGTAGCGCGCCTGCATCTCTGTCCCTCTGCTGCCCGAGCCTTCCCGTCTCACTGTCCTGATCTTGTATGGATTGTGTTTCCAGTTAATGGATAGAAAACAGCGGCCCTTTTTCTTGCCCCGCCTTCCCTTGTCCTTATTTCCTTTCCAGTTTCGGAGGAAAAAGAAAATCCATCACAATGAAGAACATACTCTCAGGGCACAATGCCATCACTCAAAGCTCCAAGTTCCCCCCTCAGAAGACTTTTCTGGCTTAAAGAATGTCTTAAAACGTGCTCCTTGTTCAGTGGGTGGAGATGTTAGTGAAGTTCTGTCCCTTGGAGATGGTTGCTACAAGGGCTCTGTCACACAGAGTACAAGACTTTTCCTGCACTTATCCCTGGGGAAAAATGCTCATCACTGAGGGAGGTTTCTGTTAACATTCTCTGGAATTTCCCAGGCAGTCACAGGATAATTTGTTTGCAGAAAGGAAAACTCAGGGAATGCCAGTTCTAGACTGATCCTAATTTTTTTTTTCCTCACTTGCCTCTTTCTGCTTGCATTTGTCCTTACTGCAAAGTAAGATTTCAGGCTTTGGGATCAGTTGGGATCCAATCCTCTGTTTGTGTCCCTGCCAGCTCTGTTACCCTGAGCTGAGAGTATCTCCAGAGCTGGCAGGCTTTGTGTAAACCACAGCCTGCAGGGCAGGAGGAAGAAGAGCTGCAAACACAGAGCTGCTCCATCAGTCCCTGGGGGTGGGAGTATAAAGGTAAAATTCTTCCCACTGCCAGGAAAACTGGAAGCTGGCACCCATTGGAGATGTGGTTTTTGGCAGCTTCTGCAGCACCTTTGTTGTTATGCAAACCCTTAAGATTTAGCTTTCTGCACAGACTGATACTTGTTTCAGTTCTTCCAGGTATTGCCATGTGATACCCAGCACCTCTGGCAATGAAGAAAGGCTCTGTAAGGAAAGTTTCAGGTAGAAAACCACAGTCATCAGCATCCCTGATACCTCAGCCAATGTCACCTGTCAGTTCTGGTGCCACACCTCCACGTCTTGGCCAACAGACACCTCCAGCTGCTCCCAAAAGCATGGAGCAGAGACCCCAACAATGGGATATTCCAGCAGAAAATGTTGGAGCTGCTTTTAAATTGCAGAAAGGTATTGTATAGTCAATAATACTAATATCCAAGTATATACCACAAGCATTAAAAGCCAGTGTTCTGTGAATTGATTAAAGATGTATGATCTGTTGGAAAGAAGCCTGAAAATTTTGCTTTAATTTTGGTTTTTTTTTTTGAACACAAATGTGGAAGTGGGAGTAATGAAAGCTGGGGAGAATAATGAGACTTTTACTCCTTCCTGTAAATGCTTCTGGGGGGATCATTTTCAATGCTTTTCCAGTATTCATTGTAAAGAAAACAACAAATATAAAAATCATCAATCCTTCTGTTTAATTTCAGGTGAAAATGGTGTTAGCCCAGGGGTTAGGTACATAACTGAACCCCTTATAAAGGGTCTGTCAAAACATCAAAATCTGGCATGTATAAGCTCACTGAATCTCTCTTCCCCAAAGGATGGGGACAAGAAATTTAAGGTAAGTTATTGGAAAAAACTGGAAATTAAACTAAATTTAGGAAAATTACCATTTATTGTTTAATACAGACTTATTTTTAAGTGGATATAAACTGCACAGTCTAATTCTGTTAGCCTAGTTCTGCAACCAGCTTCTGTTAAGAATAAGCAGTGGAGACTTGAGCAAAAGAAAAAGAATTTAGTCATTAGAATGATGTTTAAAACAGATTAGTTCATGGAATTTTTTAGGTTTTGGATTGTGCTGGTTTTGGTTGGTTTGGGGTTTTTTTTGATTTTTTTTTTTTAATAACATGTTCCTTTTTATGTAGATGAAGATTAGGCCACTTTAAATTTAAAATCCAGTTTTCCAGCACTGTAGAAGACTGTACCTAAAGTGGGGTTATAGAACACCACAATTAACTGTGATTAATAAAATATTAGAGTACTTGGTATTTTTTAATTAATAGAAAGCTGCTTTTCTCTTTTAAAAAAACCCTATGCTAAGGGATTTTCTGTTCTTTAGTACATAGAAAATTTGGAAAAGTGCTTCAAACTAGAGGTGCTAAACCTTTGTAACAACCAAATAGAGAAGATTGAAAAGTTGGATAAACTGCTGAAGCTGCGTGAGCTCAACTTGTCTGGCAACAGGATCAGGTAAGAGGAGACCCCACAGGGTTTGGGGTCCATAAAGCTGATTTTCCTTTCCTGCTCAAGTGAGTTCTCTCACAGGAGTGAACCCTTGAGGTGTTTCCCAATTGTATGTCGAGGCTTTGAGGGATTTTTAAAAAGCCCAAGCTCTGAGGTGTTGGAAGAATAAATAGTTCTGGGAAGTGCTGTCAGTGTACATGGCTGTGGTTTAATTTGTTTTCCTTGGAAACCAAGCCAGATGTGCAAGTTTCCAGATACCACAAGAGAGGGTGGAATGAAGAGCAATAACCCAATTAAGTGCATTAAAAATTAATTGAACTTTAACTGTTTATTATTACAGGTAATATAATAAGTTTTTCTTTTAGAAGAGGAAGTTGAATGGGCTTGATCAGGCAGGCCATAAATTCCCTAAATTGCTTTTGAACTCTTTTGAGGGCCTGGTGTCTTGTTTAAAGTGTTGAATGGGTAATGGTTCATGCAGTGGCAAAACTCTTAATTGCTTTTCATTTTTTCTGTCAATGAATTATGATCTTTACTATGATGAAACTGCCTTTGCAGCAGAGAGGCTGCCATTTCAGTAGAGACATGCACAATGGGAAGTGAGTAAAACCCCAGAGCTTGTTTCTACACATTGCATTCACACATCTTCCTCTCTCAACAGGAATTGAAAAGGGCTTTTAGCTCCTGCTCTGTTTTCACACTTTGGTTATTTACAGCTCATATATACCCAAAAAATAGCACAGCCACAGGAGCACATCCTGCTGTACTTTGTTATAATACTGGTGGTTTACTTAATGTTCTCACATTCTCATAAAAATGCCCAAATAAACTACAACCTAGCATGGTTTCCTCAATAGTTTTAATGAAAACACTAAAAATGTAGCTCTTCATGCTGTCAGTTTACAGATGGTCCTTCCTTTTTATGGGGAAAAAACCAAACCCACAAAACAACTGTATTTTGATACATCTTTGTCCCATTATGTTCTCGAGGAGAAAGAGCAAATTTTGCCTATTAAAATGGTGTTACCACACATTAAAATAGTGTTAATATTGAAATGAAGACATGCAAAAGTAATGAGTTTGCAACAATGGCAGAAAATTGTGCTGTGATTTTTGGTCTTAATTTAGTACTTGTAAGTAAGCTGGTGTCATTTCATTTCAATTGTCCATGGCTCTAAATAATGGTTGTGCTGATCTCTTGGTTAATTAATTGTGACAGATTTTGTTGTAGTTTATCCATAATGCCTCAGTTTCACTTCAAGTTTGCTGTGATTCATGACAAATTCAATTTTTCTTCTCATTTTCAGCAAAATTGAAGGCATAGAACATTTGCAGAACCTACAGAAGCTGAACCTGGCAGGGAATGAGATTGAGCACATTCCTGTGTGGGTAGGGAAGAAACTGAGATCGCTGCGCAGCCTGAATTTGAAACAGAATAAAGTGTCCTCAGTAAGTGATTACAGTTAGAAACAGGCATTGTTCAGTCTGAGCTGGGGTATTTACACTGATTGACTTCCTCTGGGTAATTGCTGGGTGTCTTTCCACACAGTCTGCTGTGAAATGCAGCAGTTGGGAGCCTAATAAAGTTATTTATCAGAGAAACTCCTGTTGTGCAGGTAGTGAAAACACAAACCTATATTATGTTGTTTGGAAAAGCATAACTTTTTGGGGGGTTATTCATCCACAGGCTTTGGTATCTTGACATTTCCAAGATAAAGCTTGATTGCATTTACACTCTTTGCAGTGGCATTTTTTTATGGAGGAAATAATTTGATTTTAAGAAGTGACTTTAGTCATAATACTGTGTATTTTGGTAGGTTTATAGAGACTATTCTTTAACATAAAGGTTAAAAGAAATATTTTAATACAGACTATTCTACATAATCAGAAATTTACTCCTGGAGGTTTAATTCTTCTCAGAAGGATGTCTAATCATTATTTTGTTTTCTCTTTGATTTAGCTCCATGATATAGCTAAACTAAAGCCTCTGCAAGATCTGACTTCTCTGTTCCTTGCTGGAAACCCAGTTGCATGTCTGCCTCACTACTGCTTGTACACCATATTCCACCTGAGGGCACTGGAAAACCTGGATGGACAGCCAGTGACAAACCATGACAGGCAGGAAGCTCTGGAGAGGTTTAATTTGGGTAATAATCTGTAAAATCTTAAACGAATGACATAAAATTCAAGTTGGGAAGGAAAAGATTTTTCTATTGGGATGTTTCTCTGGTTTTATTTTTCAGAAGAGATAGAAAAATTAGAAAGAGAGTTGGAAAACACAAAAAAGGAGATGGAGAGCGTGAAACTTAACCAGACCAAAGTGCTTGAGCAACTTCAGCATCAAGATGAGCTCAACAAGTCACTAAAGGAAAAGGCTGTGCTACAGAGACAAAGCTTTGAGGAGCTACAGAGGGACCTGGGCACCAAAAATGAGCTGGTAAGATAATCCCTGGCACTAAGGGAACAGACCCACAGCTCTCAATGTGAGAGTTCAAGTGACTGAAGATTTAATTTTAAAACTGAGAGACTTCCAGCTCTTTAGAGAGTGATTATTGACCTCCAATATTCTTTCTGTGGAAAAAGTTAAGTATATGGAAGCAGCACTCAGTATCACTCCTGTGATTTATAGTAACTTCTTTGTTTCTGGTAATTATTCATGTATTTCTGTTTAAAATTTTGTCTGTTGATGAAAGGTTAAGCTGCTGAATTGCTGATGTTCTGGATATGCTGCACTGGTGAGACTCTAAAGTGCTGCTGCAATAAGGAAGAAAATTGCTACTTTTACAAAAACAAGATGTGCACACAAGTTGTATGTCAGTAATAGCCCTTGATATCATTTTGGGTAATGCTCACCAGTTTAATTGTATTTTATTCACATCATCCTAAAGTCTTCTGTTTGAATCTCTTCCATTGGTAGCCATAAAATGCAGGCAATGTCCTACTGACTTGAGAGTGCTGGATTGTGAATGACCTGATGGAACTTAATATTTGGATTTTATCCTGTTAGACTTTTCCTCTGAAATTTTATCCTTCAGACTCTCATACCTGGTACTTCTACAGCTGAACACACACACACACTAACCAGCAGTCTGCTTCTAAAATGAACTTTGCAGTATAAGGAGATTTAGAAGCAAATACTTTGCAGCTTGACCCCTCTATTCTCCTTTGGATGACAAACTTGGCTCGCTTCTGTCTCCCTTTAGCTGGTGTCTGGGTTTGTCACAGTCCCCTTCCTGCAGAGCCTTTGTTCCTCACTCAAGGTAGCCCCACTGTGCCCCTAGGTTGCATGGTTGGTTTTATTTCTAGGATGTATTTGCACGTTCCCTGAAGTAGCAACATTATTATGAAGTGTCCCAGTGAGATTTTATATTCACTATGGTTTGGAGTGCAATTTTCTTGCTATTTTCCCCCCTTTTCTCTGAAACAGAGTTAATTTTTGCATGACATTTTTCAGGTTTTGAAATCTTTCTTTAAGTCTTTCCTGTTCTATTTCTTTTCCTCCATTAGTTCTGCTTTCCACTCTCTATTGGAATTGTGCTGCATGTTCTCCTTCAGGTATTCAGTGTGAAAAGTTGATTTAAAAAGAAATCACATGATGGACCTTTACTTAAAAATAACCTCAAAACCAATCTACCACATAGTTAGACTAAAATAAAATACATAGACTTTGTACTCTTGACAATTGAGATATTCTGTTTTTTTAACAGACCATGAGTATTAATAGTCCTCATGCTCACTAGTAGCAGTAAATACATTTGTTATTTTGGCCTAGATTTTGCTGAAGGATCATATCCAAATTATTGCTTTATCCTAAAATAGGTTTAAAAATAAACTTGTCACTTTGATGTACATAAACTTAAAAGGCCTTTCATGTGATCATTTGTATTCTATTAATTGTGGGGCTTTTGTCTCCTCTTAGTCACCATTGTAAAATTGCCCTTTGTGATACCCTTGATCCTGAGCTGTGCTGTGAGCTTTGTTCCCACACTGGGGGCTGTGCCCTGCTCTCTCTGGAGCTGCACTGTGTGTGCCAGTGATGAGTGAATTCCAGAGGATGATCTCACTGGGTTTTTGGTTCCTTAGCTGAAGCAGAAGACAGTGGAGCTGACCCGGGCTTGCCAGAAGCAGTATGAGCTGGAGCAGGAGCTGGCCTTTTACAAGATTGATGTCAAATTTGAGCCCTTGAATTATTTGCCCTCAGAGGTAATAATTTTAAAATCATGGATATTTTTATTGCTGTTTTCCTTGATTCTTGGAAAATAAAAACCTTATTGGTTTTCCTTAGATGCTGCATTATTAAAGGCCCAACCTCTGTCATACCTGCAAACAACAATGCCAGAATGAAATCCATAAGAAAAGTCAGTAATCATTGACTATAATTATGTCTGAGTAAACTGAAGTGCAACAATGTAATGTACTAAATATAATCTAAGTAAATTTAATATACTAAGAAAAAGTTCCTCCAGACATCTGCAACAAACTGGGCACACCTCAGTTGGGTTTGCTTGGTTTTAATTCCGTTCTAAAATAACAATGTTCAAGGCCAAAACTGTTAAGTATAATCTGTTTTCTTCTTATTCTTCTAATTTCAAATTGGTTTTCCTTTTTATGCTTGATAAGAGAACTAAATGCTTGCTAGGAGTTGACTGCAGCCATAGTTCTGAGATAAAGACTCTGCTTCCTACATTTCAGGAGGTTGAACTTGATAATGTACCTGGTGAAAGTCCCTACATTGGCAAGGCCAGGTACAAAAGAAATATGTTCATAAGGGAAGGCTACATCTCTGACAAAGCTCAGCAGCTGCAGGTTGGGAAAATGCAACAGCAGGAAGATGGCTCCTGTAGGAAACCCCAGCTGGAATCACATCTCCAAAGTCTAGATAAAATACTGCAGGAGAAAAAAGAAAACATTAATTCAGGTAAAACCTTATTTTTTATTAAATAAAGATAAAAACATGTGTATCAGTATGGTTTATTCCAGTAGTTACGTGCTTGACATCAGAATAGAAACAGTGTGTCAAAGGCTGGAAATGCTGTGATTGTGGAACACTGGACTCCATGCATTTTTGGTGTCAAAACTGCTACAGTTTCTTACTGCTGTTATTTTAAGATAACTCAGGATGAGAGCACTACATGTTATTGAAAACACAGTTCTAGGGAGGTTTCCTATTTGATGCATGAATTTAATTGTGTTGTACTTGTTAAACTTTGGACTTGCTTTCTGAGAAAGCAGAATGTGTTAGCTGTGATTATCAGAGTGTTAATGCTGTGCTGATTAATGTGTTCATACACAGCTGTGTGTCAGTGTTATACACAATATTATAATGTATTTTGTGGGACTGTGGGTTTTGTGTTGGGTTTCTTTTGTCTGCAGCACAAAGAAGATTAGAAGAACTGCAAAGTGAAATTGGAGATGCAGAGCAACAAGTGCTGAAAGTAACAGGGGAACTGCAACAACTGGAGGATGCTCTGGCTCAGAAAAAAGTAAGTTTTCCCACAAAGAGCAAAGGAAGGTGTTTGAAGCAGTGTTGATGTAAGAAAATACAACTTTTTCTCCCCATTCTTTATAAAGAGGCCACTGTACAGACATAAATCCATGTGTCAAGCATCAGAAAAATATTCCAAGTTTTAGAGAGCTTGTTCATAAATCAGCTGTTAGAGCTGTAGTGCAGTTAATGGCATCTGTTCCATGTTGCTGCTGATTTATTGCTGACTTCCCCAGAACCCTTTTGAAGAACCTGCTGTGTAGGTTGAGTTGAGCAGCTGATAAGCAATGTGGCTACAGAATTGGCAGCAAGAATTAATTTATCAGCATTAAACTAAAACAGCTTTTCCACTTCTTCAACTGTCATCAGTTGTTGCTATTTTTAATTTTTAAACTTGCCTGAAAATCAGTGACCAGGACTGTCTCTATTTAAATGTTAAATATATTCTTGATCATCTGTGTATTTCCAACCACTCAACATCCTAATGCTGTCTCCAGATCTGCCAGGCTAGCAAGGAAGCAATTGAACAGAAATTGAGTGAAAAGTTACAAATCCTGCAGGAGCTACGCAATGAAACCTTACAACTGGAAAAACAAATAGAGAAACAGAAAAGAGAAATAGGGAAAAATCAAAAAGAGCTTGAAGATTTGCAGAGTTCTCTTGGTTCTGTAAATCCTGAGGATCCAAGGCATGTAAGTAAAAGCAGAATCTGAAGTTTTTATATACTGTGCAATGGACTAAAGGCAGCTTTAGCAGGTGCCCATTCACTTGTACCTATTTCATGAGTTATATTCTTTTGCTGTTTATCAAAGTCATTAACTTATGATTTGAAAGTTAAAAAATCTTTACAGTTAAAAAATCCCACCAAACCAACCAGCTTTGGTAAAACACTTGAACACCTCATTTTCCCAGCAGGTGCTGTAGAGCACATTAAGAGCTAAATCTTTATGCTTTGCACAGACACACTGGGCAGAGCCTTGCAGACGGTTTCTGTGTAAGAAATCCTTTGTGCATCTTTTTGTGGAGTCTGGCCTTAAAGGTTTTTAAAGATCTGTGTGTGGCAGTGCTGATCCAGCCTGCTTGGTGGGGACTGATGGCCTTTCCCTGCTGTCACCTCCAGCCCTGAGAGCATCAGCAAGGCCACAGCTCCCGGGGCTGTGGTGCCAAGGAGAGCCCCAGCTTCCACCTGAATTTATGATCATCAGGGATGCAGGGCTTTTTCTGAGTTAGAACAGTGTTCAGGTACAGCAAACACTTAGAGAAATTAAACCAAAATGAAACGGAATTCTCTTTAATAGAGTTTTTAAAAAGCTTGTATCTCTAAATGAAAGTTGTTCACGCCAGCTCGGTGCTTTTAAGTGAGAAATGAAAGTATGTCCGTGCTTGGCTCAGTTTTCAGCAGAGGCACGCAAACACTTGTTTAAAAAGCTCCTTTTGTGTTTTAAACTTAATTTCCTCGGCTGTTGGGTGGCAGAAGGGCCGAGCGCGTTCCGTGAAGGCTCCTGAGGGAACGGCCGGGCCCGGGGCAGCAGCGGGCCCTGCCCTGCCCGCGGCCGCCCCTCGCTTCGAATCACAACACAGGAAACGCCGTGCGGGCCAACGGCCGGGAACGGGGCTGGGAACGGGGCTGGGACCGGGAACGGGGCTGGGACCGGGGCTGGGACCGGGACCGGGGCTGGGGACGGGGCTGGGACCGGGAGCAGCAGCAGAGCCAGCGCGGCAGCTCCAGGCGCAGCTCCGGCCCCCGGCCCGGCCCCCGCGGAGGCTCCGCTCAGTTGCTGCCCGTGCCGAAGCTCCCGGTGCTTTATTCAAATGAATTCCCGCTCTGGGGTGGGGCGTTCTGCAAGCGCTGTCTCGGGAAGAAAAGACAAAGGCAAAGCTGTAAGTGGTCGGGGGCTTGTGGCTTTTTGTTTCTTTTTAAAACTGCATTTTTGGTGCCGTTCAGCAGCCGCAGCAAGATGGCTGAGTGGCAGCGGCTCGAGTTTTACTTGTTGGAATTTCGGTTTTGAAGGCTGCAGGGCAGTTTGTGTTCAGCAAGGTGACAAGTTGAGCTGTGCTGATATGGATGTTTAAGTTAACTTCCGGTTTAATATATTAAAAATACAAAAAGCTTTGGTTTTACCCATTTACTTTCATTACGGAAACAGCTTTGTAAATGTTCTTTCTTCTGAGAACTCAAATTTTCTACTGTTAGCTTGATTTATTTTTTTGAGTAGTAAGAAAAATATGCAGTTAATAATGACAATATAATTCTGTATTTTCCCGAGTTTCTGGTGTTTGAGTTGTTTCTGAGCAATTTCACACTGGGAAGAAATAACACTTTATTCTGTTGATAACCAAGTTTTTGTAAACAGCTGAAACAATCAGTTAATTCATACTAAATGCATGAAGTCCTTGCCAGAGTCTATGTGAGCTATGTGATGGATCTCTCAGAAATATTTAAATAAAATAAGATTTACTTAGGAATATTTACTTAGTAACTGTAAAGTTTACCCGACTTGCTGTTTATTCAGAGTATTTTCATTCAAGTGCTGACCTGACATGTTCTAAAGCATCATCTGCTGTGAGGGCAATGCAGGATGACAGGATTAAAGGTTCTGGGAGAAATCATGTTTGTTCTTGACTGAGAGAGGAAGTGGTAGAACAAAATGTAAAGGCAGGAAGAAAGATAGTAGCCATGAGTACTAATTTATAAATGCAGGCTTTATTCAGCCTGGGCAGGAGGGAGCCTGCAGACAATGCTGGTAGTCACAGATTGCTGCTTATCTGGGGTCCTTTGTGGGGCAGGACTGAGGGAAATACCAACAAGTAACAAACCCCAAAGCACCACAGTGTGTGCTGAGTTTGTGGCTTTTCTTGCTGATAGTGGGACACTGCAGAACTGAGACAAAATCCCAGTTTGATCTTTTAAATCTGTGTTGATGCCCTGCTTTACCTTTCTGTTACTTGACAGGCTCACATGAAAGCTCAAAAAGCAAGTAAAGAACAGCACCTGGATATGATGAACAGACACTGCCAGCAGCTGGAGACTCGCCTGGATGAGATGCTCTGCAGGATTGCCAAGGAAACTGAGGAAATCAAGGACTTGGAGCAGCAGCTCACTGATGGTAAACTTTAATTTTTTTGTCTTAAAGTATTTTTTGTATTTAGGGCAAAATGACAATTGAATTGAGGATTGTTTTGTTTATCTTTGCTCTAATTAAATACAGAATAGGTACAATTTCTGCAATTTCTTTTAACTCTTCCAGTGATCAGGTTAACACAATAATATTTGGAATCCTAACCTTAAAAACAATATTTTCTCATTGACTTCTAGGTACTTGTTTTTACTTACTCCAATGGCAAACATTTGAGATGATGAAGGAAGTCAGTTTGGTTTGTTTGGTAAATAATTGTGGCTTCTTAACTACCTCCAATTCATTTTGCATTCCTGCAGGTCAAATAGCAACAAATGAAGCACTGAAAAGGGATTTGGAAAGTATTATCATTGGCTTACAGGAATACCTGCAGAGTGTGAAGCATCAGGCAAAACAGGCCAATGAGGAGTGTAAGAAGTTGCAGAAGGAAAAAGAATCTTTGCTGGGAAGACTGGCAGGTCTGGAGGAGGATAAAAACAACCTGGAAGTGGTTGCCATGGATGCAGAAAATATGAGAAAAGTAAGGCTTAATACCTCTATTCCCAAGTTTAGAAACCTAAGAATAAACTTGAAAAAATAAGCTCGTGCTCAGATTGGGACTAGGGAAGCACAATTCCTTGGACAAAATAATTTCTGATACAGTAACATGATGAGATGTGCCCACAAACCTCAAGAATAGAATCTGGCCTTTAAAAGCAGTTGTAAGAGACATGCAGTAAAGCTGTGCTTTTTGAGAGATGGCTCAGAAATGCAGGTTTCACTTTGCAGACATCACTGCAAATGGCTCTGTGGGGAGTGGCATCAGTGAACCCTCTGACACTGCCCAGAGAGGTGTGCCAGCAGCTGGGATCTGTCCTGTGACCAATGACACAGAGCTGGCTGGGCATCCTGATGGGTGTTGTGTGACCTGAACTCCTGGGACAGTTCTGCTTCACTTCCAGCTCCACCTTTCTCACCTGGGGGGAGATTTTGGACAGCCAGTGGCACCACTGACCTGGCCTTGCAGGCAGAAGTGCCACCCCCATTCAAGTTTTAATGGAGTTCCTGAGTTAAAGGGGAGGGAGGCAAATACTCTTAAATTTTGGGTGTCCCATGTACATCCTTCTAAAATGGCTATTAAATTCCAGGAAATTGCAGTGCTGGAGAGTTCACTCCAGGAGCAGAGAGAGATTAATGAGTCCCTTCAAGGTGCTCAGGAGAAGGTCAGCACCCACAAGGCTGAGCTGGAAGCTCAATTAAGAGAGAGAGATGCTGAAGCCAAGCAGCAAAAAGAAGAATTTGAAAGATTGAAACAACTTAGCCAGGTAAGAACAGAGCTTTAGTGCTGCCAGAGGTGTTAGCTACCCCAGGACACCTCATCTCCAAAGCCAGATCACAAACTGCTGGTGTAGCTGTGTCCCCACATTGTCACTTTGCTGGGATTTAGAACTTTGCTGTGAAGCAAGGTGCAGATGGTTTGTTTGGGGTTGTTTTGTTGGATCTTTTTTAGGTGTTGTCATATTGTTACTGTTTTAAGAAATGCATCTGTCGTGTGTTTGGGTGACAGGTTGGGGTTGGGAGTGGGGATGTTAATCTGGAGGTTTTGTGGTTTTGTAGATGGAGCTGTCAGCCCTGCAGGATGAACTTGAAAGGGAAAGACAGCTGTTAGAGAATGCTCAGACCAAAGCACAGCTGGCAGAAGAAAAGGAACAACAAAATTACAAGCTGCATTTACAGTTCAAGCAATTGCAGGTGAAGTTTTTGGTGTATTAAAAATCCTAGCTTTTATCACTTGTGGATTTATTTGCTTACATTTGTGTGAATTTTTTTCTTCTATTTTTAGGGAGACAATAATTTCCTAAAACAACAGCTTAAAGATCTCCAGAATCAGCTGAACCATGCAGTTGGTAACTTAATTCACCCTGAGGATGTCATGGCTTGTATAAATGAACTCAGGAAAAGGCTACAGGCAGGAGCAGGAGAGATGAAGTGAGTAAAATAAAAGTGCAGTGTGAGATTTGAGCATGTGAAAGGGGCAGGACAAGAGGAAATGGCCCAGGTTGTGCCAGGGAAGGTTCAGGGTGGATATCTGGGAAATTTTCCTCACTGAAAGTCTTGACAGGAATTGGAACAGGCTGCCCAGGGCAGTGCTGGAGTCACCAGCACTGGAGGGATTTTAAAAATATTTAGCTGTGGCACTTGGGGACAAGGGTTAGTGGTGGCCTTGGCAGTCCTGGGGCAGTGGTTGGATTTGATGAACTCAGAGGGCTTTTCCAACCTAACCTGAATGAATTACACAGCATCTCTCAAACTTGCACTGTTTGTCAGTCATGATTTCAGTATCTGGGATCACAACTTAAAATCACTGTTTTCTGGCTTAGAACCTGGATTGTTTCTCTTTCAGGTGCCCAAATTCAGCGGATATTTTAGGGAAAAACCTTGCAAGTCTGCAGAAGGAATTCAGTGACATCCTTGCTGATGCACAGAAGGAGAAAGAGAAAGCATGGGCTGGACAGAGACAGTTGCAGGAAGAAGTGGTATCCCAGCAGGAAAAACTGGAACAAATGCAGGAGAAATACAGACAGGCATGTATCAAACAACACAAGCAAGAATGAGACAATTTCAGCTTAGTCTAAAAAATGTAACCTGCAGCTGAAGGATCAAGTTTCGCTTGAAGCTTTGCTGTGCTCTGTCCTTTGTGTAACTGTAGAGTCTGATTTGATTTTTCATTAATACTCTTCCTGATTTTTACCTGATTATTTGGTGAATTGGAATTCAATGTCAGTTCAAAGGTCAACGATCTGTCTCAGAGGCAACAAAGACTTTAATGACCACTAGAAAAACACAGCTCTGAACCTTCCTGAAAGATCATTATACATATCTCTAATAAAATAACTGAGACACTCTTAAAATGTTACAGTGGCACAGTAGTTGCTTTTCCTTTCGCACTCTTAAAATATTACAGTTACAGTGGCACAGTAGTTGCTTTTCCTTTCTGTTTTGATGCAAAGTATGCTGGTAACTGCATTTCCCAGAAATTTAATTAAATAATTTAAACAGGGTGGCTTTTGATTGGAAAAAATGTATGGCCACTTATTCTAAAGTATTTTACTTACAGGTTAAAGCTGAAAACAGGCAAAGTAAGAACAAGGTGCATCAGTTAGAGAATGAAATTCAATGTTTACATGAAAAAATAAAGAGCATGGAAGAAATTCAGGGCCTGGCTGATCAGCAGCTCCAGGAGGCAGATGAAGAAAAAGAGGCTATTCTTGCTCAGCTGGAGGATTTAGAGAAAAGGGTAAGAATGGGTGAGGGCAGGTCTGTGCACTGTTTGATTGCTCAGAAAAGAGAAACAAAAGCTTGTGAATTTTTGATTTCTAAGTTAAAACAACACATGCAGGAACAAAAATGTTAAATACAACATCTTGCTTTTCCTTAAATTTTCCTGCTTGTCTTCGCTTTAGATTTTTTCCCTAAATAATATGAAATGGGGTGAGGGGAAGATGAAAGGAAGTACTTTGTTGAAGTCTATTTTCCTGCTTTCAGAAAAAAATAGAAGATGCCAGGGCACAAGTGCAAGTGCTGAGTCTGGACAAGGAGCTGAAGGAGCTGCAGAGAGCAGTGATCACCTCGGACAAGCTGGCAGCCACCGAGCTCTCCATCGCTGCCAAGCAGCTCAAGGCTCTGCAGGGCACTGTGCTCAGGATCCACCAGCAGAGAGCTGAGGTCAATCAGCATGGGCAATGAATTAATTGCTTGTTAATGCCATTGCAGTGGGAGCAGGGCTGGTGTCCTTCAAATGAGCTTCAGAGCTTTCTTCTAAATTGTTCTGAGCTGCACAGGAGCTCTTGCTTTGGGCAGAGTTTGAGATGCAGGAGATGAGGGAGGAGATGTGGGTATGGACAGGTTCCTGCTGTGGGAGGGAAAGGGAAGATCATTAATCTCTTATTAACTGAAAGGCAAACAACAGATAATACATTGTTCTGTAAGCCAGAAAAACAAAAGAAAGGACTGGAAACTCCTTTCCAAACTGGGAAGCACTTTTGGCTGCATAATAACACCTCCTCTGTACCTCTGCTGTGAAGTTAAAGGAGAAACAGTATTTTACATGTATCTGGAGTTCCAGAACAGTCAGGTGCTGATGTTTCTCAATGGTTAACTTTTCACAATGGCACATCTCAAGCCTGAGAAATGTTCCTGCAAACCACAGCTCAAATTAAAATCTCAATTTCAGGAGCTTGAGGAAGTCCAGGAGTTCTGTGCTGAGGCAGCTCGTGCTTCCCAGGCTCTTGCCAAAGCAGAAGCAGAAAGAGAATTGCTACAACAACTCCTGAAGGAGAAGGAAGAGCAAGTAGGTTGTTTGCTCTGTGTTATATGATAAAATACCAGTGAGTTTCTGGAAATGTCATGTTTAGAGGTTCTTGCCCTGCCCTTTTCCCCTCAAGTTTTCCCAATCAGTGTTCTTCCCTCCCCTGCCTCAGAACAAACTGAAAACCTCGAGCAGCTGAGTTGTGAGGAAAGCCATCACCTGTTCACTCAAACATTCTCATTTGAGGGGTTGGGAAGGACAGCTTTGTGGCACTGAGTGGGAGCTTTTGGTGATTTAAACTTCTACTTCAAATAGCTTCTGCAGGAAATGGAGAAAGCTGGTGAGCAAACTGTTGCATCAGACACTCAGAAGTTTGAAATTAATAAACTAAATGAAGCTGTGGAACAGCAAAAAGCAGAGATTGACCGTTTGAAATGGTTCTTGGATAATATTGGGACAGGTAATTTCTCTTTTCTCTCCACTTCTTGCAGCTAGACAGGGATACAGAAGATTGTTATTCCCCATTTCTCACTGTTTGAATCTGGAGAATAGTGTTGAGAACATCCTTCTGCACAGGTTTTTACAGGATATGTGTCAATGTTCATTAGTTTGCATTTTTTGCAGCTCTTTAGGAAACACTGATTGTGCTGAGCACTCCATTTAAACTGCTCAAGACATTGGCAGGGCTCTGTGTAAGGAAGATGAGCAGCACTTACCTGGATCTGAACTTGTATTTCCACAATCTCAAATCACCAAACCCCTTGTGTATGCCTGTCATTACAGATAACATTTAGTTTGTTTCCCTCAGCAATTAATTTTTTTTAAATATAGTTCCAGTTGAACTGGGTAACATTGAGGGAAAAGTTGACTGCAGTATCTATTTAACCATTTGCCTTGCATGACTCTAAAACTGTGCTTAATTTCCAGGTAACAAAGATGAAATTGAAACCTTACAGGATGAAATTGCAGCCCTCAGAAATGTGCTCTTACAGCAGAATGGTCAGAGCCCCAGTACAGCAGAGCCCCTGAAAAGAGGGGGATACTGGTACTACCTGCCATCATCACAGGTCAGGAATAAAAATCCTCTGAGGAGTTGTTTTCCTTGTGGAAAGCTCTTTGATGGAGGAAAGTGCATTATAAATTCAGTAGGTTTGGGAGAAATTTAAGAACAATTATTGACTGGCATGTAGGAGAAATATTGAAATAAATCACACACAAAAATGTTCCCTGGTAAAGCCCTTTACTGTGCTGATAGGAGTCCAGGTACATAACATGGGGACAGAACTGTCCAGAGGGCAGCACTGAAAATCCATTTAGGTAAGGGCTAAAAGGAGATGTTACAGACAAACATTGCTTTCAAGAGAATATTTGTCTGATTTTAAAACCAATACTGTTAAAATACATTCAGTGCTTTTAAAGCAGCATCATGCTTAGAACTGAGAGACAGCAGGGTATGTGGAGCCTGTTCTGAAAAATCATTAGAATGTCTGCAACAACTCCTTTATTTGCCATGATTTGTCATTTCTAGATTAACACATGCTGTATCTTTTCTTTAGGCTTCAACTCCTGCTTCCCAGAGCACTAAAGACTCTGGAGTGTGTTTGGGGTGCTCTGGCACATCCCCAGCCAGGAGGGAGGATGCTCAGGACAAGCCCTGGGGGAGGCAGGACTTGCCCAGCCAAGGATGTTGGGTTTATTCACCAGTCAGAAACAGGCTGTACGAAGCAAATTCTGGCAAAGGTAAGTCAGTGTCAGTCTCAGAATGCTTAGGAGCAGACTAAAGAAATGCTTGCTTAGAGTTCACAGAGAATTTTATTTTTTTTTAATGGGCATGAGTGAATATAAGTGTTTATTACTGAATAAACAGTTGAATAATTTTGTTTAAGCAACATTTGTTACATTTTTGTAAATTACGTAGAATTTAGGATGTGCATTTGAAGACTATCTCTACTGAAAAAGTTATTAAAAATAACATGTTTGGTTTTGTCTCTTTTAAAGAAATAAGAGCAAAAGAAGATGGTGAAGGAAATGCAGGATCTCCTGTCCCTGAAGCCTCTCCCTTTGTCCCACCCCCGGGCACAGCCCTTCCAGATGGGGCCCCTGCACCTCAGGGCGTGGGGGTTTATGGCCCTCCTCCTGCAGCAGCCCCTGGAGCTCCAGTTGCTCCTGGATCCATCATCCATAGCCCACCTCCTCTGGGATCCCAGGTGGTTTGTGGCCCTCTGCCTCCAAACTTCACAGTGCCACTGGTTCCCCTGGGAGTGCTCCACTGCAACGTGCCTGAACATCAAGATCTGGTAAGAACCACAGCTGCAGCTGGGACCCTTGGGAACTGACTGACAAATGTATTCTAGGAAAAGCTCCCTGCTAGGAAGGGTCTGGATCTGGTTACAGTCTTTGCCATCTGGAGCTGCTCCTGGGTGTCAGGAGGCCTCAGCTGGAAAATAGATCCTGATTGTGTTGTTCTTCCCTGTGTGCAGGAGAGTGAAGTCTCAAGGCTGGAAGACACTGTGTGCTATTTAAAGTCTCAGAAATACAAAGAGAAATGCTCAGAGGCAGCTGAGCATAAATACAGAAAGGAGGTGGAAAGATTGCATGGAAATGTTGAAGAACTTGAGCAGGAAAGAGAAGAGCTGGAACGTGAAGTGGCAGAGCTGCGCCGGGCAGCTCAGAAACTGAGCACACACAGGTGGGAGCAGGGCACTGAAGGGAAACCTGTGCAAATACCTAAACCTTTTCCCAGCAAAAGTCAGCTTTTTTACTCATTTACAAGCCTAGAACTTCAGCAGGCTCCCAGATCTTTGGCATCTTTGTATTTTCATTCCGTGTTTTTCATCCTGGCCTTTCAGGGACTTCATTGACGGCCACACTGACAGCCTCCCTGCAGAGCTGCAGCTGGAGAAGTCCCTTCAGCAGCAGGAAGATGTTGCAGAGGAGATTGAGTGTGCAGAGAAAACCCTCCTGAAACGCCGGGCTGAGCTCAGAGAGGCTGACAGGCTCCTCTCAGAGGCTCAGGTGGAACTGGAGAGCACCCGGGGCAAGGTGAGGGAAGGCAAAGCCCTGAGGGCAGAAGGATTTGGGTGCTGTTTTCTTTGTCTAGGCAGTTTATTTTCACATGGGTAACCTGGAACCTCTTAAAATGCTTCTATATGAAAGTTGGGAAATAAACTGTGTTGGAAGAACTTGGTTTAGTCCTTGTTGAAGAGGAGGAAGATTTTTAACCTCTTAAAATGCTTCTGTATGAAAGTAAATTGGGAAATAAACTGTGTTGGAAGAACTTGGTTTAGTCCTTGTTGAAGAGGAGGAAGGTTTTCTGCTCTGGACAAGAGAGGAGAAAAAGTTGTTCATGGTAGAAAGAGGGAGAAGGCTGAGGTGGAATATTCAAGCCAGGAGCTCACCTTTAAACAGCAAATGCAGCACAAGGTGGAATGTATTGTCTCAATCTTCAATTTTTGCTTTAGACTAAAGAGACTCTGCAGAAGTACAACCGTGCCAAACACCATTTGTCCTGCACTGAAATGGAGGCAGAGGAGCTGGAGCAGAGGGCTCAGGAAACAGCCACCAAACTTGTGGAAGCAGCTCAGCAGCTCAGGTACCCTGGGTGCTCCTGTGGGTTTGTGTCACACGGAGTGAGAGCAAGGACTGGGATCTTTCCAGTATCAAGACACTGCTTTTGGAGAGGGAGAGCTGTTAAAATGTTAATATGAAAAGGCATAAATGCTCTTCTAGGTTATTACAGACAGATACGAGGGATTTGGAACAGCTTAAGAGGGAACAAGAAGGTATTTTGAAGGAAATCAACAAAATGGTGGCTGCAAGAGACTCTGAGTTGCAGTCATTAAACCAGAAGATAGAAATGCTCACTGAAAGGTGAGGACTTTCAATTTACCATGGACTGTATTAAGTTAGACATCTCCTCCTCCCGTGAGTCACTTCCTAAGATAGTCTCACTTCTTCTGACTCCTGTTGTAATCCTCACTCTCAGTCTGCAGAAGCTCCAGGAAGACATCAGACTTGCAGAAGGTAATGAGGGCCAGCATCTCCAAATCATCAGGGAAGCAGAAAACCTTGTTCAGGGCAAGAAAACTGAACTGGAAACATTGAAAGATCAGGTGAGGCTTGGCCTAATAACCCTGGGCTATCCATTTTGTTGGAATTGAACCTTTGAAATGATCCCAGTCTCTCTTTTTCATGTGGGTTTTTTTTCATGTTTAGCTACAAAAACAAAAGCTTGCACTGATTCTTCTGTTAAACTTCTCCACTGTAGATTTCTGCTCAGAAGGAAGAGCTCTTGTTCCTGGAGCAGCAGGTGACTCAAAAAACAGAAGAGCTCCATGGCCTTCAGGACTGCATTTCCCAAAGGACAGGTGACCTCAGAGAAGCTCTTCGAGATGGAGAGACTGAAGCGCATGAAAAGCTTCGCCAAATAAGGGCAAGTTTCCCAAATGAGTTTTCAAATCATTGTAGCAAAAGACTTGAAGTGCTACAAACATTCCAGGAGGTTTCCACAAAATCAGTTTTGCTTTTTGTGCCCTCCCCAAACCCACTGAGAAATAGAACATGGATTTTATGGGGTTGTGTGACTAAAAGGTTGGTCCAGATGCACAAAGAAGAGCTCCCCAGTTCCAGTAATTCTTACAGAATTGGTCCCTTGAGAGCTAAGTTACATTAAATATAAATCTGTGAATGACTTCCTGTTGCTGGGGAGCAGCTGCTGGAGGAAATCAGTGTGATCAGTGTGTGTAAAACACAACACAGCTGCCCCAGTCTGTCCCCATCCCCATTTGCACAGAGAGGATTCTGTACATCCCTGCTGAAATCAAAACCAAGTATCAGGCCTAATTATATTTTGTGGTTTATTTTCTTTTGTGAGGGCTTCTTGTCTGGTTTTGTTTTAAGGTCTGTTATTCACTTGAATGACAATGTTGTGGTAAGATTTGGAGATCAAAATCTTTGCAGAATTACTGCTCCAAATCATCAACAAACAAGACCTTAAATATTCTGTGTTTTTGTTTGTTAAACCACAATATGGATGACAGACTGTTAAATAATTTTATACATATTTAGAACTTCAGTTTAAAGGGAATATTAATTTAAAATTGCAAAGAATGGTATTTCTTGTAACACTGATACATTCTCACAGGAAATAAAAGTACTTCTGGGAGAGCTCAGTGTTGAGAAGAATGAACTGGATGTCCAGATGAATGAGAGAAGTGCACAGCTTTTGGTCCTAAAGAAGGATATTAGAAAGGAGGAGGAAAATCTTCAGGGAATACTTGGGCAAATTAGCAAGCATAAGATGGGTATGTCCTGGGATTTACTGGGTTTTGTGCAGATTGGGAAGAAACACACAGAGCTCTTTAGTTCTCATCCTAATCCAATAACTGCTCTTTATTTCACCTCCTTAGAACTGAAACATGTGCTGGAAATGCTGGAGCTTGAGAAGAATGAGCTGGAAGGTTTGAAACTACAACATGAGCAGAAGGTGAATGAGCTGGAAAAGACCCAGGTGGCTGTTCTGGAGGTAAGAAATGCTTCTGTGGCTGATGCAGAGACTGGGAGATCTGTGGTTCTCTTAAGCCTCGTGTAACAGAGTCCTGATACTTTTAAATCAATCAGTTTCTAATCTGATTTCAGCTTATCACAGAAAAGTCTTAAGTCTGCCTAGGCCCTTTAAAATAATGGGATTTTTTGGTGCATGTGAGAGAGAGGGAGCACAGAAGCTCTTCTGTGGCTGTAGAATGAAGGATGCTGGTTTTTAAGAGCTTTTTATCTGGATCCTGTGTCCTCACTTCCAAACAATGAGTGTGGAAGGGAGTTTGACTCAGCTGGGTGATCTCTGGCATTAAAAAGGTCCCCAAGAACCATTGGAACCATTCTATTGTCACCTTCCTCCACGGAATGCACTCCAATCACTCTGACTGCAGCCAAGGGTGTCAATACTTGTTCTGCTTCTGGACCATAGAAACGTGGTGCTCAGCATGCCTGTTTCTCCTAGGAGAAGTTAAAACTGGAGAATGTTCAGAGGTTGTTTCAGTGTCAGCAAGGGGAGGTGGATTGGCAGGAGCAGCTCCTCAGGAAGGACCGTGAGGAGAACGAGCTCCTGGGCTGCCAAATGAGAGCTCTGCAGAGCAGCATCGAGGCTCTGAGCAGAGAGAAGGAGAAGCTGCAGGAGGACTCCAGGACTTTGGAGAAGAGGTTGTCACAAACCAAAAGGTGAGGGAATTTCTTTTTTCCTGCAGAGATCAGAAGGGATGGGGAAGTGTATGAATGTCTGTGTGTTGTAATTAAAAATACAGCTCTAACTCTGAGGTGCTCAATGATACAGAATGGACATTTTCTTATGTTCTGTGGAGCTCTTGCTTTAAGCCTATCTACAGCAGATTTAAAAAATATTCAGCAATGGAGCTGATGAATCAGCAGTCGTTATATCCTGGCAATGCCATGAGAAATGTTACAAAAAGTAAAGTGTTGCATCTTGGAACAGAACATTTGTCTTGCTCTGACTGCTCCTGCCATCCCCTTGGGCTCAGGGGGTTTTACTGACATTTTTTCAGTCCTCACCAAGAATTTCCAACTAAACAAGAATGTGATTCACATTTTACAGAGACTTAACTGCTGCTGAAGACAGCAGCAGAACTGCACTGTCTGACATGGAAAAAGTGGAATTGGAAGTTAAGAACCTGCAGCAGGAGGTGGAGCTACTGAACAAGCAGAAGAAATCACTGAATGCAGAGATTGTTGCTGTCCAGGGGGATCTTCAAGGTAAAGATCAATTTTTTAGTTTAAGCAGTGATATATTTGAAGAGAAATTCTGTTAAAAGACACACTTGAACTGAACTATATGATAGGAAACATTCAGCATGCTCACATGTCCATAGGCAGGAAGAATTTAACACTTGAACTGAACTGTATGATATTAAACATTCAGCATGCTCACATGTCCATAGGCAGGAAGAATTTAACATGTTGAAAAGAGAGAATTTCTGTGTATTGGTATTTCAAATTGAAATTGAAAATTCTTGTCACCAAATACTTTTCTAGGGAAAAAGGAAGAACTGGAAAGACTGAAAGCAGAGCTGAATGACTCGAGGCAGCAGCTTCACCTCGTGGAACAGGTTGGTTTTAGTGAAACCCATCCTTTTGGTCACTCTGGGAGTCTGTTGTTGCTCCTGACCTGTACATGAGGGCACAGCTCAACACCAGAGCCCTGCAGAGCTGAGCACAGGGATTGCTTTACTGCCTTCTTCTTGCTGAGTGTGGAGTGGGTTTATTGCTTCTTAGGAAGAAGATCATTTAAAAACAACCAACCAAGCAGCACATTCTGGCTTTTTATCTGATGGCTCCTTCTTCTCATTCACTCTGTGGCTGGTTTGAGTGGAAGGAGCCCTGAGTGTGCCAGTGGCCAGCTCTGTTCTCTCAAACCCAAACCTTTGGGGATGGTTCCTCCTCCCAGCTCCTCCTGCCACATGCTTTTGTTTTCCATTGCAGGATTTGGAAAACAACTCCAGGCAGCAGGAGGAGCTGCTCAGAGAGCAGGCAGCCCTGAAGGAAGACATCCAGGGGTATTTAAGGAAACGTAAGGAATGCCAGGAGAGGCACAGGAAGAGGCAGAACCAACTGCAGCAGCTCCAGAAAAAGATTGAGGAGAAGGAAACAGAACTCGCCCAACAGGAAGCGGTAATGGGCGCCCTGAGCTGCCTCACTTCCTCCTGACCTTAAAAATAATTCAGGCCAAAAAGTTTGAGGTGTGAGTTTACAAATAATCACAAAAGCACAGATTGGTTTGGCCAAATTGGCTCGGGTTGGGTGAGGAGTTTCAGCAAAGTGTAACCCAAAAGAAAAACTGAGGGAGCTGTTCTGAAAATGAGAGAGGCAAGAAAAATTGACAAACATTTTTTGTCAGTAGGGACTGTTAGACTGCAGTTCTTTCCAATTTATGCTGTTTTTACATCTCTCATGTCTCTCAGTGATGGTTTTTGTTCTCCCTGAGTTGGTGCTGGTTCAAGCTCAGAGTGGGGGGGGTTTCTGGCAGGTTCTTCATCGCCTCAAGCAAAACTCAGAGCATGAAGGGAAAAAACTGGAAGAATGTGCAGCTAAAGTGAAGGATCAGAAAATCCTGTTGGAAAAGGAACTAACAGATCAACACAAGAAACTGGAGCAGGCAATAGCTAAAGTCAGGATGGCAGAGGAGAACCTTGGCAAGCTGGAAAAGGAGGAGTCCCGGTGTGCAGCTCTTGAAGAAACCATCAGAAAAAGCAGTAAGAGTCATTGCACAAATGAACTGCCACCATCTCTGGGGGCTGAGGATAATGGCACAACAAATATTTTTGTTCATCTTGTTTGGGTTCTTGGTGTTTGGAAAATATCTGCTGTGTATGAAGTGGACCAAGATAAGTTTTGCTAATCAGGATTTTTTTTTTTCAAATGTTCTTTACAGAACATCAGCTCTCAGAAAAAGAAATACAGTTGCAACAAAAAGACAGAGAAATACAGTGTCTTCAGAAAGAACTGGAGGTCTCCAAGTCTGAGCTAAAGCAACTTCAAGGTCAGATAGTGTCAGAGAGGAGAGAAGCAGAAAAACAAATCTTGAATCTGAGAGAAACACAGAAAATGCAAAGGATGGAGCTTGAAAAAAAACTGCTAGTAAGTCCTTGCTGAATGGAGAAAATTTGGAGGTTTAGGTTATTTTAAACAGCAGAATGATGGAACACCCATTTTTGTCATTGGAGGAACAAAGTAATGCAACAACTTCCTGACCAGACTGGAGGCAACCCCCCTCTGGCATTCCCAGTGCTGCACAGCACCCGAGTTACTCCTGTTTCTGCCTCAAAGGGATCGTGGGTTCTCTTAGCTCATGTTCTGTGGTGGGTGCTGCCAGTAAAAGGCATCTCCCTGCTCTTTCCCAGGAGCAGAAGCAGGGAAGTGGCAGCTTGCAGAGTGCCGGGGCCGTGGCTGAGCTCGTCACCCACAGCCACTGCCCACCAGCTGAGCACCCTGGGGGGGACCCGGGCCAGCCCCCACGGGACTGCAGCCACCCCCAGAGCCAGGTACAGCTGGGTGCCAAACCCAGGGGGCTGAGGGTTCATGGCTTCAGACAAGCTCATTTTGTTTTGGTTTTGAATCTTCCTCCTGCGATATTCACGACTGAAAATACACCCAGAGTTGTAATTTCTGCAAATCACTCAATGTTAGCAATGTTCAGAGCTACTCAGCAGCAGGCATTTAACAACTCTCCAGTGCAAGCTTGGGCCAGCTTTTTCTTCTTTAGATACTCACTATAAATTAAGAAGTGATTCACCTTGTCTGACTCCTTCTAGTCCTTCAATAAACCCTTTATAAATTGTTGTGAAGCCCTTTAAAAACAGAGAAGAATGTTGTTGACAATAGGAAAGCATTTGGGAAGGCCCTGCAAGGTTGGAGTGTGGCAGGTTTAGGTTAAGTGTGGTGTTTGTAACCCAACTGTTTTGTGCTGCAGGTTAAAACCCAAGACCTGGAAGAGAGACAAAGGGAAATGGAGAGTGCAGCAACCTTGCTTAACCTGGAGGTTGAAAATGAGATTAGGACAGGGTTTGAATCTTCACACTCATCTTCTTCAGACCCCTTGGGAGATATGGAAGCATCATTTGAAGGAAAGAGGAGCCTGCAGTGTGAGTGTGAGAACTCAGAGACTGCTTCCTTCACTGCTGCTGACAGACAGCTCCTCTCCTTGGAAGAAAAGTTCAATATTTCCAGATTCTTCTTACTGGTAAAATGCTTTGGACAAGTAGCTGCTGCTGGTGCTGTGTTGGTCCCTCTGGCTGATTGTGGTTTTTTTCCCCAAGGATGAGCAGTGGCGGGGAGAGGCACGCCGGGAGAAGCTGCAGCAGCATGAGGACAGGCTCAAGGTGCCACATCTGTGCCCCTCACGTCCCTTGGGCCCCTTCAAAACATGACCTAAACAACCTGGGGGAGTGGGGATCCTCCTCCAGCTCAGGCAAATCCACTTTGTAATGACCAGAGAGAGGAGCTTTGGGTGGGAACAGTAAAAGCCTGGCTGTAGCAAGATGAGTAATTTTAATTGGCAGTTAATTGGATGTTGGAGTATCCCAACAAGATTCTCTCATTTATATCATCCTGTATATCAGCAACATGACAGAGGAGTTCAGCACCACCCATGATCACCTTAAGGTCCAGGCTCAATTAGAGCATGGCCATCAAAACAGAGTTTATTTAAAAATAACTCCCAAACCTGCTGCCCTCTGCTTGTGGTGTGAGACTCAACCTTCCAGCCTTTAGGGCTGACCTTACACAGTGTTGCCAATGCCTGCTGTGCCCGGCCCTGTGTGCCCAGCCTGCTGTGCCCAGCCCCGGTGGCACTAGCCCCGTGTGACGCTCCCCGTGTGTTGCAGGCGCAGCTGCGGCGCTGCCTGGCCAAGCAGGCCGAGGTGCTGCTGCAGGGGAAGCGGCAGACGGCCGGGAGCCTGCACAGCCTCCAGCGCCAGCTGCAGGTGCTGGATGACCTGGTCAGCAGCCCTGCTTCAGATTCCTTCTTCCTGCCCAGCAGCCCCAGCCTGGGGTCTCTTCACAGTGTAACAAAAGCTCAGGTAATGTTCTGCTGCGGACCAGGATTCTCATTTGGGGGGTTTTAATGGTTCTTCTCTCACTGGGAGGTGTTACAGCCATGTGCTGCCTCTCTCCGAGGCTGGGCAGGGCTCTCTGAAGGTGGTGATCTCACCCTAGCCCTGCTCTGGCAGTGCTGTTGTCTTTGGAAGGGCTGAGCTTTCCTCACAGTGGTTTGGGTTTTTTACAGGTCCCCATCAGCCCGGGAAGCGCGTTGGGATCACCAGTGCTGCGTTCCAGCTCCCAGGGAGCCTCTCGGTGAAGGCCAGAGGTGAGATGTGGCTTCAGGCCAGTTCCACCCTCCCAGAGACACGAGTGGCCGGAAGGCTGAGGGGCCATGGGGCAGCTGTGGCCTCACAGACCACACTGTTCCTTCCCAGTGACAGCATTCCCGGGGCTGGTGTCCGTTCTGCTTTAGGTTTGTGTGTTGTGCACAACAGGGTGAGAGCTGCTGGAAGCTCTCCTGGCACGTGGAGTTACTGCTGCATAAATTGTTGCCATCCTTGGTCTTCCAAGAACTTTCCGGGTTCTGCTGTTCAGCCCCGAGGCTGAACCTCTGGGACAGCTGGTTCCACCCCAGCCTGGTACAAAAGTGTTCTTTTGTAACGGTTTAAGGTACAAAGGTTACTTGAAAAGTGGCTTCACTTTAAAAGCAAAGCCCAAAGCACATCCACAGCTTGGACAAGAGCCCTCAGGTGCCACCTCTGAAGAGTTCTCCTACCTCACTGGGTGAGCCTTGTCTGAAAAGGCCTTTGCCACCACTCACAAACAGCTGCTGCAAGGCCTGTACTGTGAAGGTTTTGTACAATTAACAGCAGCTGTTTGTAGAAAAGTTTTGTTTGTTTTTTTTTTTTTAAATAATTAAACGTGTATTTAAACATGTCCAAACCAACTTCCTATTTAAATGTCCAGCTAGTGGCCAGTTTCCACTTTAAAGAAACCTTGTTACAAGGTCTGATCTGTTGCCAAATGCATGGAGGTTTAAAATACAATTATTTTGGATACTTCCCTAAAATAAACTGTTGTGATTGATGCTTTTATCTGGGGGTGGTTGCAGATTCTTTTCCTTAAAGCTGTTCTCCAGGACACTGATACTGGCACTGGACAGTGACAAAGGCTCTGAGTGCTGGGGAATGTCCAACATTGGCATTTCTGTCCTTGTCCCTCTTCCTGGCTGCTGGGTGAGCACCTCTTCCTCTCTCCAGGCTTGGCTGCATCACTTGTCTGAACCAGGTGGATACAGACAATGGCTTCTTAACAAAATTACAATCAACTTACTCCCTAATTAGCAGAGGAAAAGCCACTCTGTAAATCCTTCAGGCAGCAGGACAAGGCACAGGCCAGTGGCTGTGCAGGGATCATCCCAGCCCTCCCCACCCTTTCCCAGGAATGGGCTTTGGCATCCAGTCTCAGTCTTGCCCTTTCTCATCCTCTTTAAAGATAACATTTTTCTATGCAGCCATTGTCAGAGTCCACTGGGAACAAACACACCCAGCCCTGCTTTCCTTCGAGAGCAGCTCTGGAAACCACTGGCAGATTCCTCTGGGAAAGTCTGTGACGTTTGAACAGGAAAGGCCCAGGGTGAAGGCTGAGCACAAATCCCAGCACTCCAAGGAGCTCTCCCTCCTCAGAGATCCCACCCTCAGCACAGAGGGCCAGAGCAAGTAACACACAGCAGGGAGGTTTATCTAGATACAGGTACTTTATTTACAAATATTTAGATTAATAGCATTGTTACATCAAATGAGGAGTACAGCAGTCCAAACAGATCCTTTCTGTGACAGAAACAATGAGACCTACTGTAACTTACTCTGGGAGTACAGGTATTGCACCTCAACAAGCTGTAGTCATTACAACACTGACTTCACATCAGCAGCAGGTCGTGGTCCCTGGGCAAACCCTGGTGCAGCCTTGGGTTAAGCAGGATGCAGGAGCTGGAGATCTTGAACATACCCATCTACTGAGGAACAGGAGTTAAAAAAGGACTAACCAGACAAACAAAGGGACAGCACACGAGTTACCCAAATCCTATTGTCTGCACATTCCAGTTTTGGCTTTTATATAACATTGACTGTACAATACTCTGGTACCACTGGTTACTTACAAGTCTGAACATTGTAGAGTTTTAGTGTCTAAAGAGGGATTTTCAGACTACTTTGTATTTGAAACACTGCAGTAAGCCTGAAGTGGGACACTGGATTGTGGTTAAGCACTTACCCCCTTCCATTTCTAAACCTTGTGATGTTTTCCAAGTGAAGCTGCACAAGGAGCCACAGTAAAACCCCACATTGGTGCAGCAACACCCCCAGGCAGGGTCACCACGTGACACCCCCTCACACACAGGCCAGGCTGTGACACCCCAGGAAGGATGTACTTGAAAGCTTGAAGCAAAACCCTTAAAAAAATCCCCTCACACAGCACTGTTAAAAAATACAAGAGTAGTTAAAAATCCCTAGAGAGCACATGTTGTTCCAACTGTCCAGTTGAGCCTCTGCCCAGTCCCAAAGTTACAGGTACAAAAGCGGGAGGTGTGCGAGAGCCCGGCCACGGCTGAAGCCCGAGAATGCCAAAGAGAAGCAGGCAGAGCACTGCTGAGTGCAGAGGGGAGCATTGCACAGTGCAGAATGAGAGCCACACCCCACTAGTGTTAATGTCTGTGTCCCCAGCACCGTGGGGACCCTGCAAGTGACACCCAGCAGCTGCAGCCCCAGCTGGGCTGTGCTGCCACGGGGGCACAGAGAGCTCAGACTGTACAAACAGGGGGTTCTTACACGCTGCTCTAATGCCAGGCATCATTTTCTTCATTAAAATCATATACACAGGATGTATTTAACTGTTAGCTCAGTTCCTTCAAATTTTATACATATTTACGTTCTGTTAACAAAGGTAAAGGATAAAAGTGGCAAAAGAATGACGTAAAGCTATTGAGCACAAGAATGAACAGATCGCTTCCCTGCGCCACCCCGACCCCAGCACATCCCACAGGGAATTCTTCCAACAAAAGCACATCATTACAGAGCCCCTCGCTACCATCAGAAGTCATTTCACAGCAAAAACTTATCCTTTACTACTGACAGCTCGAACAGTTAGAGGTGGGGAAGAAAGGCCAAAGAACCATAAAATAAACCATACAAGACAAAGCCCTGCAAAAGTGTAAAATCAGGAGTCCAGCATCAGTGCTCAGTTTAAATTATGTATCGGTGACACTATCACAAGGACAATCAAGGAAAAAAAAAACTTCTAGATTTACCATGCAGGAGAGGTTTTATTACTCTACTTGCCTTTGATAACCTGATTACATCTAAAGTTGTTTAGCAGTTTAGTACTGTGTTAAACTTGTCTCAGAGTTTTAATTAAACCCAGTAAGATGTACAGAAGATGGGGAAGCGGTCAAAAGCACCACTCCCTAGAGCCAGAGGTGAGGGGTCAGGAGGAGCCACGGGGGGGTCACTAGCAGCCACAGCCTTCTCTCTGGGGCTGGGGTTCGCTCGTTAGCCGCCCCCCCTGCGGGGCTGACGGTTTGTGCTGTACGCCCGACTCGGCCGCGTTCAGGTCCAGGCTTCCATCTTGGATGTTCTGGTAGATTTTCTTGGCAGCCTCCAGGAACGCGTCCTCCACGTTCTCTCCACTGCAAGAGAGCAGCAGGAGTTACTGGGGCTGCAGTGCTGCTTCCAGAGGGAGCTGGGCAGGCACTGCCCTGGAGCTGACAGGCACTGTGCCCTCCTGTACAGCCCAACAGCCCAGCCCCGGGACAGGGCAAGCCCTGCCTGGCCACCACACCCCTACCAGACCAGCAGGATATGTGCCAAAGCACTGAGGAGCAAAAATAAGCCAAGGCATCGAGCCACGTGCACAGGAAGGTTCTGACAGAGCCTTAAAGACAAGGGAGCCACTATGGATCAAAACCTCTTTTTGTTACAGAGTTCTGCTCTGACAGGTGCCAGTGGGAGCCACATTTCCTGGTGGCCCTGGGGATCCCCAGTGACACAGCCAGCCCCAAGCATGGCACAGCAATTCCTCAGTTACTGGAGGGGCTGGTCATTGCCTACAGACCAAACCTGCAGCTCTGAACACCCAAGAGAAGGAACCCTTTACACACTGAGCACATTCCACACTCAAATAAGACCTGAAATCCAAATCAGTTCCTTTGAATTCAACCAGTCTTTGGCTGAAATGCAGCCAGAGCTCTCAGTTCCAAGTTACTTTCAAGACACAGCAAAGAGACCAATCTGAACATCACCACAGCCAAAAGTCACTTACGTTTTTGCACTTGCTTCAAGGAACAATAAACCTGTTCAGAGACAGAGGTTTAACAGTCAGTGCACAACACACCTCAGAGAGCCCCCAGTCAGACACACCACGACCTTCCCATTACATGCAAGACACTATTTTATACTAAACAAGCTTTTGTGACTATGTCAAGGCATCATCACAAGCTGGTTTCTAGAGTTACAGACAGTTATCAGACTGCCTGAGGCACAGCAGGAGTTTGTACATACAATTCCATCACTCTGGAAGTGTAAGCTTGCAGCTATCAATGCTGAGGATTCACTTTAACATCACTATGTTTTAGGAAAGTACCAGCTTTAGAGAAAAAAAAACACACCATTTTCTTCAGCAAATTGTTTGGCTTCTTCATATGTAACATCCCTCTGTGCTTCCAGGTCTGCTTTGTTTCCTATGAGGATTATCACCTGGGTCAGGAGAGAAAAAGTTAGTCTGGGAAAAAGCTTAGGAGCCTTTTCACTGCCACCTTCATTATTAATGAGACCTTTTAAAAAACCAAAGGGAAATATGCAGAGCAGATTATCTACAGAAGCCACGCTCCTTCAGGAGAACTCTGCTCTACCATTCCCCACTCTGGGAAAGCAGGAACAGCATCTCCAGCTGTCACTTTCCAAGGCTTTAGGGTGTTCTCATGAGATGAGGTCCTAAAAAGCTGCTCTTTACTCATGAGAGTACCTTGAGCCACTTCTTGTATTGGTTTAATCACCAGACAATCTTTAGTTTTCTCATCAGTTTGGTGCTAAAGTATTTTAGAGGCATTCAGGAACAGGCTGAAGAACAGCAGCTCTGTGGTATGGGCAGAGAGACCCAGAAGGATCTTCCTCCACAAAACCTGGTCAGCTTTTGGTGGAGATCCAATTTACATTCCAGCCTAAGGACAGCATTCATCTCATTACTGACACAAAGCAAGGAGGAGTAACACAATCAAGTTTGGTCCACATTTCATCCCAATTTTGTCTCCAACTGTTTCAAACAGACCCTGAA